GCAGAACCACTGGCACAGCTGTTTGAGCACTTGTGGTGCTCAGGTCAGGTCCCGGAGGACTGGAAAAGGGCCAAAGTGGTCCCTATTTTCAAGAAGGGGAGGAAAGAGAATCTAAGTAATTATAGGCCAGTCAGTCTCACCTCCATCCTTGGAAAGGTCTTTGAAAAGATTATGAAGGATCATATTTGTGGGAGTCCATTGGGAAAAATTATGCAGCAAAGAAACCAGCATGGATTCAGAGCAGGTAGATCATGCCTGACCAATCTGGTTTTGTTTTATGACAGGGTCACAAAATGCTTAGATGCGAGAGTAGAGGTGGATGTTGTTTTCTTGAATTTTAGCAAGGTCTTCGATACGGTATTTCATCCCATTCTCATAAATAAATTAATAGGTTGTGACAGATGTTTATACAGTCCAGTGGATGGCAAATTGGCTTAGCGGTCGCACCCAGAAAGTGGTAGTAGATGGGTCAGTATCGACCTGGAAGGATGTGGGTAGTGAGCTCCCACAGGGTTCGGTCCTTGGACCTGTACTCTTCAATATCATCATCAGTGACTTGGATGTGGGTGTGAAATGTACTCTGTGCAAATTTGCAGGTGATAATACATTGTGGGGTGAAGTGCACACTCTGGAGGGTGGGGAACAATTGCAGGCAGACCTGGACAGGTTAGAAAAGTGGGCAGTACACAATAGGATGCAGTACAACAAGGACAAGTGCAGCACTCTGCACCTAGGGCGCAAAAATATCCAGCACACCTACTGGCTGGGAATTGACCCAGAAAGGGATCTCCGAGTCATAGGGCACTCCAAGATGAACATGAGTCATCAGTGTGACGGAATCATCAGCAAAGCTAACCACACTTTATCATGCATCAGCAGATGCATGACAAATAGAACCAAGGAGGTGATACTTCCCCTCTATGCGGCATCAGTCAGACTGCAGGTGGAGTACTGCATCCAGTTTTGGGCGCTGTACTTCAAGAAGGATGTTGATAGACTTGAGAGGGTCCAGAG